TGAAATATAAAACAGTATCATGTTAAAACCTGCATAAAACTCACATTTGAGTCCCCAGTGCAATTATAATAAAAGCTAAATGTCCCCCAGGGACTTTTTGTCTGGCTTTTATCCATCCTTCCAACCTCATCAACCCATGACAGACTACCTCGGCCCCTGTACTTCTTTGATTTTCTCCACATAGTAGGCACCTTTCCACCTTGGGACCTCTGCCTGGGACAGCTTCCACCATCTGCCATGATCATCGTGCAAATCTCAGCTTAAAGGTCACCTCCTGATCACCTTCTCCAGAGTTGACATTACCTTCCAGTTTCTGTATCAGCCTCTTGTTGGTTTCCTTCCTACACCTTATTTTAATCTGTAAGTGCTTTATGTGTTTGCTTCCTTGTTTGTTATTGTTGTTTTTCTCTCTTTATAGCACTTACCGTCAAACGTCCCTTGTATTTTATTTATTTACTTTTGTACTCTTATGTGTTACCTGTCTCCCACAGCTTGAGTGTCAACTCTGATGGGGCAGAGATTTTTCACCTGCTTTACCTGTATCTGTGCCTTAGCACATAGTAGGTGCTCAGTAAATATTTGTTCTCTTACTAGGACTGAGGCTTCATGAGGGCAGGTATGTCTATCTCATTCACTGCTGAATCCCTGGTGTCCAGACTGGTTCCTGGCACTTGGCAAGGGATCTGTGAAAACAGAGTGAGTGAGATTATCTTGGCAACCAATTCTTTCCAGAATCTCTGTACCCAACCCCACTATTTCTTCAGACCTGACAGTGATCTCCAATTACCCAGTCCTGGGAGACCATACACAGATGGGAGATTGGAGGTGGGGGGAAAGGGAGAAAGTCCATCTTTCTGAGACTGAGTTCCAGATTCTTGGAGGGGGAAAAATGCTTCTGATCCCAGGGGATGGGATGCTGGAATTTCACAGATCCATTGTCACAGTCAGTAAGAATAAAAGGTCCCCTGTGTTTCTATAGGGGCTGTGTTTGCCAAGGCCATAGACCATAACAAAAGCCACCCCACCATGATGACTAGGGCCTCCACTTAAAGGATAGGTATGTTTCCTAGGGTGTCCATATTTACTGCAAACCCGTTCCTCAACCAAAGATTTTCCTGGGGCTGCCTGCCTAAGGGGCAAACATCATTATTGTTAGAGAAGCTTCTCTTGAATTTACACTATCTTTGAGTTCATGTAGGAGCTTTTAATGCTTACAAAACACACCCTTAGTGCTGAGTAGGATTCCCAGCTCTAGGTGAGGATTTAAGTAGCTTTCACATCTTTGCCCACCCTTCTGATGTCCTTGTCACTGCCTTAAGTTTTGGCTGTCAGATCCATGCCTAGACCTTCACCCCAGTCTTCTCCCCGGCCTCCTGGCTTATGAGCTTCTGCCTCTCTGGACGTGGTCCCGGAGGGATCCTTCTGATGCTCAGGACTGGCCTAGTCTGCTCTAAACCCTTCCTAGCACCCCCTTAGTCCAGTGCAGTGCTTAGATCCTTCACTGGGAGCTGTTCTCTCTGCCTTGCACATTTGTCCCTCTCTCACCCTTTCTTGTGCTCATTCTTATGATGTTTGGGTCTTGGTTTGAACACCGCCTCCTCAGGAAGCATTCCATGACCCACTATAGAATGATCAGGCACCCCAATTCTGGGCTTCCCTCCCCCCCCCAAAGTGGCATGCATCCTGCTGGGTCTTGACTTGCCCCATGTCCCTGCCCACCTCTGCCACCTGACTGACAGGGAAAGCATTGAGGGCAGGGACTGGGGCTGACTCAGCTGCATTTCCCCACTGCCCTGTGCAGGCCCCGTGGGCTCCTGGGAGGTGTCAGGAAATGTTTACTGCATGAATAAAGGGATGATCATTATCACTCTTCTGTTCAAAAATCCTCTGTGGCTTCTGTAGCACTCAAAACCAAAGCTGAGCCTGTGTAGCCTCTCCCTCTTACCTCTCCACACGCCCCTCTGCGCTTTGCTACAATCTCAGAGTTTGCACTTGCTGTTCCCTGCCAGGAATGTTCTTCCTGCAAGTCCACAGAGCTTTCTGCCTCACCTCTCCATATGTGCCCTTCTCCTCAAGGCCGTCCATACCCCATCTTCAATATATGTGACACACTCCCCATTCCTCTGTCATCTTCTGGCATCCTATATATACAACTTATTTTATTTGAATTTTTTGTTTGCTTTTTTATGTCCCTCCCAAAAGGATAGGTTTGGTTTTGTGCCACAAATTACACAGTCAATAAGTATTTGTTGGATGAATGAATGGTGCTCGCTTTGGCAGAACATATACTAAAATTGGAATGCATGAATGAACAAACACATACAGGGGTCTTGATGTCAAAGAATATCCAGTCTTTATACGAGGCCTTAAGATCTATGCTGACCTGTGTCTTTCACACTTGAGGACTGGCTCAGAGACCAGGGGGCAGGTGGAAGAGAGCTGAGCTCCTTATCTGGGCCTGGGAGAGAGAGACCTGGCTTTGCTGGCTGTAGCCACTTGTTGCAGTGTGGTCACAGTGACCTCTTGTGGCAAAAGCTAAGAACAACAGCATCTTCCTCAGCTCTGAGGAGGCTCCAGTAAGGCTGGAGCATACAGGAGCACGCGCTAAAGTAATGGCCAGGCGCTCTTCAAAGCACTCATGCTTATTTAGCAACAATAACCACAGGGTGGCAGTATCATCCTTCCTCCACCGTACAGAAGAGGAACCTGCCCAGTCACACGGCTTAAGGGGCAGAGTTTGGTCTTAAACTCAGGCAGTCTGGCTCTAGGATGCAGGCTACAAACGCACACTGTGCAGCAAAGTGGCCACAAGTGACCCCTGAACTGCAGGGAATCTGAACTGAGAAGGCCTGCAAGTGTAATGTACACACTGGATTCTGAAAACTTTACATGAAAAAAAGATACGTAAAAAACTTATCAAAGTTTTAAAATATTGAGTACATGTTTAAATGATAATATTTTATATATAGTGGGTCAAATAAAATTTATTATTAAAATTCTCCTGTCTCCCTTTAAAAAATATGGCCATTAGAAAATTTATTTTTTAAACAATTACTTTTTAAGAAACAATAGAGATGGGGTCTTGTTACGTTGCCCACGCTGGTCTTGAACTCCTGGCCTCTAGCAATCTTCCTGCCTCAGCCTCCCAAAGTGCTGGAATTGCAGGCATGAGCTGCTGTGTTTGACCAAAAATTTGAAATTGCACAGTTTGCATTATATTTCTATTGGATAGTGCTGTTTGGAACCACAACAGAAATTGAATCAACTGCTCACCTCCTCATATGGAGGGAGAAACTACTGAACAGAAGGGAAAAAAGTCTCTTGCCAAAGCTACATGGTAATTCAGCAGCAACAAGAACCCAGGTCCCCTGGTTTCCATCAGGCAGCACAGCTAAAGGGTCAAGAGCTCCATCTCCTTTACTGATTTGCTGCTGTGAGACCTTGGGGAATATTACTTCACCTGTCTGGACCACAAGTTTATCCTTCATAAAACTGGGGATAAAGGCTCAGGGCCTGTGGCTCAAGTGGCTAAGGTGCCAGCCACATATACCTAAGGTGGCAGGTTTGAATCCAGCCTGGCCTGCCAAACAACAATGACAGCGGCAACCAAAAAAATAGCCAGGCATTGTGGCAGGCGCCTATGTTCCCAGCTACTTGGGAGGCTGAGGCAGGAGACTCACTTGAGCCCAGGAGTTGGAGGTTGCTGTGAGCTGTGATGCCACCGCACTCTACCCAGGGGGACAGCTTGAGGCTCTGTCTCAAAAAACAAACAACAACAACAACAAAAAAAAAACAACTGAGGATAAAAATCCATTCCTCACATCACTGAGCTAATAGGAAGGAGTGCGTGGCACAGTGCCTGGCACACGGCACTCTAGCATCAGCCCACACAATTGACCTTGATCATCCTGTGTAGCCCATAACAGCCCATTCTCCTCACAACAGCTGGAGTAATTTATAGAAAATGAAAATTTGATCTACTCATTGGACCAAAGACTTACTATCACCTCCACAAGAACACGTATAACCGCCCTTGCTCACACCTCATTTATCTCTTGCTATTCTTCTCCTGCCCACTCTGGCCACATGGGAGTCCTTGTTGTTCTGTGGACTTGCCTAGTTTTTTCCCACCTCTTTTGCACCAGCAATTCACTCCCGCTGGAAAGTTCTTCCCAAGATGGCTTCATAATTTGTTCTTTTGCTTTACGCAGGTCTCTGCACAATGCTACCTCCTTCGAGGCCCTTCTTTCCCTAGTTCCTATGGAAACTGTTTTTTCCTGTCTTCTTTCTCCTTATCCTGGCTTTTAAAAATTTGTAGCATTCAACACTACCTGACATTATTTGTCTGTTTATCATCTGTTTCTCCCTGACTGTGAACTTCATGAGGGCAGTGCCCAATAAACATCTGTTGAATGAGATATTAATCTGACACACTGTTACTCTGCAGGGGAGACAGGGCATCTGGTCCCTGCCCTCCAGGCCCAATCTAATTAGGAAAAATGAGTTTGGAAGTCCACACAGGGAGGACAGGACAGGGAGAGGGGGGTTAGTTTTTAAAAGAATACTGTGCCCACCTAGGGGTGGGTGGGGGAGAATCAGGGAAGGCTTCTAGGAGGCCCTGAAGGCTTTGGACGGGAAGGACGGTACAGGTGACTGTGAATGATGTCTGCCCAGTCATGTGACTGCAGGCAACCAGGAAACGTTAGGCGTGTAGTGCTCAAGTAGGATGAGGACCACTGAGCACCCTCACTAGCAGGCAGCCCCCTAATTCCCACTCAGTCGGAAATCACAGTTGTTCAGCCTCTTCGCTCCTGAGACCCAGGAGTCTATTATCCCAGCCCCACGTCCCCCATACCTAATCCTGGGCCCTTCTCTCAGACCCAGTAGCTCATCCAGAGGATCCTCCCCCCTCACACTCCGACATAAGGGGCCCCAGGCCTACAAGGTTACGGGTCACTGGTTCCCTGTTCCCCCTCCCAGCCCCACACGGAAGGCCCAGGCAAAGTAACGCTGGTTTATTTACAGTGTTATTTACAGACAGCCCCCAATCCTGAGAGGCGTGGGATCTCAGCCACAGACGAGGAGCCGCTAGAAAGCGGGGATAGTCTCGGAGGCGGGGGGTTGGGCCCGATCCCCAGGCGCCCCCTGCGGCCCCTCCTCGCCCAGCCCCCGGCGGCCCTTGCCGATGGCCAGGCGGGGCCGGCCGCGGTTCAGGCCGTCCAGGAGGGCGCAAGCCTGGCAGAGGTCGCGGCTGGCCAGCGCCCCGCAGCGGGAGCACGAACCGGGGCGCGGAGGACGGGCGGCCGGGACCAGCGCCAGGCGCTCAGCCGAGTGCACGAGGTCCAGCACCGCCGACGGCCGTGCAGCCTCCAGGCGCTTGAGCAGGTCGCGGGCATGACCGCGGAAGGCCTCGGGCGCGTAGACGCACTCCTCCGAGAAGTAGTCGAGACGGCGGAAATGCGCGTATAGCACCACCTCCTTCTGCGACGCGAACTGCAGCGGGCGGCAGCGCGGCAGGGCACCCCCCTCGCCCGGGGAGCCCAGGCCCCCGCCCCGGGCCAGCCGCCCCGCGTCGCCCCGCAAGAAGTTCATGAGCACTGTCTCTGCCATATCGTCTGCGTTGTGACCTGGCGGGGAAGAGATGGGAGCAGGTGAGAGAGGAGCGGTATGACGCTTCTGGTCATGGAGCCTCCTGGGCACCGTGGGGTTGGGTTGCAAGGACCCAGACAGAGACCGGGATTGGGAGAGCAGGCCATGGAGAACCCCGCTTCCAGCACCATAGAGCAGCCACGTGGAGGCTGGACATCGACATGGCAAAAGCGAGACGAAGCAACACACCAGCTCTCCTGGAGCACCTTGGGGGCACCCTCATTTGTCACCCACCTACTACATGCCACACACTGAGCTAGCTGCCCTACACATAGGGAGTAAAAGTGCTTTGTGCTGCTAATATCTTCTCAGCCTCAGTTAAAACGGTAATTCAGACTCACAAAAGTCAAAATGGCATTTAAAGGAGATTCTCAAGAGAGCAGGTGTGGAAGGCAGGCTACTCCCTCTCTCCTTCCGCCCTCTAGAACCTGTGAATATATTTGTTACAGGGCAAAGAGGAAGTGAAGCTGCAGGTGGAGTTAGGGCATCCCATCAGCGGAATTTAGCTCATAGGGAGTATCTTGGATGGTCCAGCTGGACTCAGAGTAACCACAAAGGTCCCTAAAATGCAAGAGGGAGGCAGAAGAGTCAGAGTGCGGGTAGTGAGGACAGAAGCAAGGTCAGAGCAATGAGAAGGGCTCCACTTGCCATTCTTGGCTTAAGTGGAAAAAGGGGCCCTGGGCCAGGGAATGTGGGCAGCCTCTAGAAGCTGGAAAAGGCCGGAGATGGATCCCCTGCCCCACCCCACCCCCGCCCCTGCCCCTACGCAACCCTGCTGACACCTTGATTTTTGCCCATTGAGACTCTTGCTGGACTTCTAACCTCCAGAAATGCAAGATAATAAACTTATATTGTTTTAAACCATGAAATCTGTAGTAATTCGCTGTAACAGCCATGGAAAAGCAATCGTTCTTGACACAATATCTCTGTCATTAGACTGCAGTGTTTTTGCATTATCTTTGTTTAGTAAGACCAGTGAGAAATATTTACACCTAAGTCACCATCATTGAAGCTAAATCTATACTTATTCTGTGTCTTGTCAAGTTACACTTGAATCTGTTCTCAACCTGGGGTGATTTTGTCCTCCTTTCTTACCCTCAAGATATCTGGCAATGTCTGGAGATGTTTTTGGTTGTCATGCCTGGGGGGTAGTTGTAGCATCTAGTGGGCAGAGACCAGGGATGCTGCTAAAATCCTACAATGCACAGGCAGCCCCCAAACAACAAATTGGCTTCAAATGTTAATGCAGCTGAAGTTGAGAAATCTCCAGTGTACATAATAAAACACACCAAGAATTTTGCTCTCATTTTGTTTGTAGTAATAGTTATCTTCCAAAGGACTGTGACCTTGAGACCAGATGTTTGCCACTGGAAACTACATCTAGGTAAATGTTTATTGTTGAAAAGTTGTTATCTGTTGACTTAAAATTGTAAACCACATTAATTACAGGAGGCTGGGTTTACTTCACACCTTGTCATTACAAAGCCACTTATGAGCTCCTGGATTGTGTAATAACTATTACAATAATTATCATAATATGCCTTTGAAAATAGAGTGTATAAACAAAGGGTAAAAATCGCCTTATAAGTTAGGGATTTTTCTGGAAGCTTTGACCATTTTTATAAGTACAGTTAAGTGATTCTAACAAATTAACTTTAAAACCAAAGGCAACCTCTCAGTCCTCCATAAAGACGGCTTTTTCCAGAGAGGATTCTTCTTTCTATTCTCCACCAGAGAAAGCTAAATAAAGCTCAGAGAGATCCAGGGGTTATCTAAAGTTACACTGTAAGGAAAAGATGTATCAGGGTGCCCTCCCCAGGGTCCATGCTCTAGCATCATGGGAGAAGAGGGTCCCAGATGTACCTTTGTCTTTATACCCCTCAAATGTGTTGATTCTCTCCTTCTGTTTCCTACAACCATTGCCTCTCACCTAGACAACAGCAGGGTCTCCCTCCTACCTAGTCTCCTTGGCTATGTCTTTGCCCCTCCAACCCAAGTTCTTCAGCTCAGCCAGGTGAACTTT